ACCACTTTTCAACCAGACTGCAACCACCACCCTCAACCGGACTGCAACCACCACTCTTGACCACACTGCAACAGCACTCTCACCAACAGGTTTTCCCCTCTCCTTTTACTTTGGACTCAGGGGGCCCAAAGAACACCACTCTGTTCATGCCCCAGGGTGCTGGGTTATACATTTGGATTTTGTGGGTTAAAACCAATTGTTTGTCTGTATAATCGTACTTATTGTATTATTTTATTAAATTGTTATTCTGACTTATAATCTCTCTTTTGAGTTGAGTTCATTTCCCCTGCTGGTTTACCTTTAAACCAGCACAAAAGTGTAAACTGAGAGATAACATCATGGACCACTGGACTCCAAAAGTAAGGAAAAAGTAGCATGAGAGTAGTCCTGTACCTCAGAGGGCAGTTTATGGTGTCATTTATGGATATAAAATAACATAAAAACTTGAACATGGCATAATTGTGCAAATACTCATAACTACTGTGTTCTCCCTCCACTTATTTGTATACCAAAAAGAGTGAGGAATAGAGTTAGACTTCAACTAGGTGCATTGTTCTGTTTAATGTAAGTCAATCAGCTGGAGCATCTATTTTGCAAGTTAACAGGAAGGAGAGAATTAAGGTTTTTAATTCCTTCTTATATGGCTATAATCACCTTGAATGGCAAGATTTCTGACACTTACTTTTGAAATAATAACCCAGATTAGATTACATTCTAATAGGTTATATTCAATACAGTGCTGGTAATTTTAAAATCAAACACTTACTAACCCATGAAAATACTAAAGAAGTTGTATTTATTAAAAAATTATGAGATAGGAAGCAAAAATACACAGCTTTGCAGCTTTGTTCTATTTGCTTAAGGTTTAGCACTATTAAAACTGTTGAATATAAATAGGATAGAAAACAAGCATGGCAAGAATTACAGTAATCTGTCTTGCATATCACCTTCCCAGAGTGTGAATTCAGTTCGATGGATGATTAAGATTAGGGGAAAATTATTCCTCTGATTACCAGCAGGAGAGAGATAAACTGAATGCAATATATAGCTGAATTTAGCATTATAATCACAAGAAGAATTTTTACAGATATATTGCATCAGGGAATACTCCTAGTTTTACACACAAGAGTTTCCTGAATCTAATATGTCATTTACTCCTGGCAAAGTCTGTTCTTTATCTAGATATATTTCATTTTGCCCAAACAGAACAGCACTAAACTACGTAAGTGCTGGACCAATTTTTGCCAGATTTACTTATTGTATGTACTAAAGTTTTAGTAAAGCACTACATCTTATGATCTGAAAGGTGAGCTAGAGGAGCATCTTAATCACCCTACCAGTTTAAAGGGACTTTTCCAAGCCTATGACATACCTAGTTTTAGAGGAATTCACAGTAAGATTTACTTTTGAAGATTCTATTTTTAACTTTGGTTTGTGAAGATAAACAGAGTAAGACGTCCTGGTGGAGAGAAACTCTATACAAAGGGTAAATGTGAACAGGAGAGGATATTAAGCACATTGCAATTATCCTTTTAACTGCATTTTCCCATGCCTCTCTATACACCATTCTTGACAGTGAATAATTTTAGATCAGTCCTCAAGGCCTTACTTCCATTATAGTTCAGAGATTTCCACTAACATCACTTTTCTGTTGAATACCTTATTTCCTTTTGATTCTTTTCTTACAACTTTTTTCTTTATTCTGCAGTGAATCTTATCTCATTTCATTATCTATCATTGTAAAAGCACCTGTGCTGCAAAAAATGCATCTCTTCATTGTATGAATATGGACTTAGAGCAAAGGAACATGAAACAAACTTCTCATAATTAGCAAGCAGTAGCATGGAAAAATATGATAAATATTATGTTTAAAATTATTCTGTGCTATTTAGACATTTCTCCTTTACGTAGAAAATTCTCTTCCAATGCTAATGCCAGGCACTAGGAATCAGTTTTGGTTCTAACCATTTCTCAGACTAAGTGAATCTACAATCACTATGACAAACCTGCAGTAGCAATGCTGGTCCTGAATCCTGGTTCTACGACCAATAAAGCCATGGAGCTCTACTTCTGCCTGGTAGCACTGGGGCTTTCCTTCTGAAACTGTTCTTCATGTTTGGCACCATTTTATGGTGACAGAGAATCCCTGGGCTGCTGTGCTCCACATTTGAGTTGAGCATGGCACTCAGCTTAAGTTCATGTGGCTTGTGATTTCTGCCACTCCCATCAGTTGATGCCAGAGTACCACAGCTGAGCACAAGGTGTATGCAACTCATCACTTTAAAGTCTAGGCTTTGACTCACAGAATGACTACTGGTTGGCATTGAGCAACTCATGGATCACACATGCCACTACTCAGAGGTAACAGATACAACATATTCGCAGTTCCAACTGAGTTTTCTCAGGCTAGTTACCTGTAATATTCAGAAAAAAGCTCAGATATCCCCTCAAAATCAAAAACATTTGATGTTAAATATTGGTGTTGTTATCCTAGTACTCTGAAAACAACGTACATTTTAATCCAATATGCAGACAATGCATTTGGCATTGTTTTTATTTAGTAGCCTGGCCATGACAGCAGCTTCCAGAATGCATGTCCAAACAATGAACATTTTTTGAGCACAATATGTTCAATAATTAAGTAGAGTTAGGTCAGCAACTTAAAACTGCTGATCTTCTTTTACACTATTTCCTTTTCTCTGAGTATATTTACATAATACAAAAATAGATGTTTAATTTCAATAAATTGCAAACTCTTCTACTGTATTTTGTAACAGAACTGGGCCATTTAAATATTCTCAAATACTTTTTCTATTTTAAGGATATGATTTCAGTCACTCCAAAGGGCTCTACAGATTAAAAACATGCACAAAAGAGGTGAGTTTTTGAATAGCATTCCTCACATTTTAGAAGAGATAATGTTTGAAATTGCTCATCTTCTCCTACTTGTTTGTGGAAAAAGGTGTGCAGCCAAGATCCCAGGCACCCTGATTCATCACAGACCAAGTCCTTGTGTCTGAAATACTGCTTATGGCAAAAAGCACAGGCTTCACAACACCACTACGAGGACCTGAAACACACTTTCAGAGATCTTTATATTGAAATTACATTCTCATATTGCTGGTTGAAATACTTACTGCTTTGCAGAGAATTAGCTTTCATTCAAGCTTGTAAAAATATTTGAAGCTTCAATGTATTTATACAACGATCTGTCCAGATTCGACTGCACTTAAACCAAGCAAAAGAAGCCTGCAGCTGCACAGTCAGTTCATCAAATAGCTCTTTGGAAAACAAGAACTTTATTTTCATGATTTTGCTGAATTCAAGACTAGAAAGCTCTTAAAAAAAATCTTTTACTTCACATGGAAAGATCTCAATGGCAGAAAAGTTCATAAGTATTGTTATGTTGAATTATTCCCAAACAAGGTTTACACTTTCCAAATGTGTAAATGTCTAAACCTGGACAACCGAATCCTCATTTACTCTCATAAATTAATGGGCTGGATTTCAGAGATTTTGAGAACTCCCAATTATCTCTCTACTGCCAAGGAAGAACTTTGTGCGCACTCCTCCGTAAACAGAGCTCCTCGATATGGTGATCAAATATATGTTGTCCACCTAAAGATATCCCCACTTTTAAAATTTATTTACTAAGCCCCTGGCACTACTAAGTGCCAGGCAAAATAATGGTTATTAAGCGAATTGTGGATTTGCTTGATTAGCAGTGGAAGTGTGAGCTGCAGTCTGTATCCCATTGCTCACTGAAGTGAGACTGATGACACGCACTCCATTATCAGTATTTCGGAATACAAACGCTGCCTATTCAGTTTTGACATAAGTAAGGCTGCTACATTATGTTGCCTTAAAATGAACAAAATTAATTTATCTCTAGCTATTGACTTTTGAGTTTCGAATATTATTTTCTGCCTCATCTTTCCTCTTGCACCTAATAAAACCCCCTCATCTCAGACCCTAAAAAAAGGATTATTACGGGTGCAAAGCATTTTGAAGGTCACCTCTAACTCCAGCGTCTATTTCTCTAGGCCTCGTGTTAGTGAAGTGCAAAATATTTTCCTTTTGCTATGCAATATATGCTTACAACAACACAAAGAACAGGAAATAGTCTTGCTAAGACAGCACCACCAGCAAGATGCTGACCAGTTTGAAATTACTGCATATCTGGGTATCTGCAAAGAGAACCTTACCTCTCAAAGCTTATAGTATTAATAAACGATGCTCACGGGCTGCTGAAGGTTTCCAGCTATAGAAAAATCTAAGAGGTCAAAGTAGGGCTAGCTTTATCACTGAGAACAAATCATTTATCCAGGGTTTATGCTATTGACATGACAGAAGGGACATCCTGGGGTCACTGCCACCATTTTACAAGCAAGGTCTGACACCTGTACTGTTGCATTCTTGATAGCACAACCAGCAGCACATAGTGAAACTAGTACCAGTCAAAGAGGACTCAACCATGAGGCTGCCTGCAAAGCTTCAGGTCTTAAAGTTGTTACTTCTGTTTAACATGATAATCTACAGCTCTCTACAAAACATCTAAAAAGGCATAATGCACATTTTATTACTGCTCTCATTTTTGCCATTTCTGTAATGAACAAAGCTGCTAAAAATCAGCTGGCTGGCAGTACTAATAGTTCAGACAAAACCAGGGAGATTTTTTTTTTATCCTCTCTTACGCCTGAGGAAATAATGTACATATGGCTCCTTGCCCATCCATTACAACACAAGTCACACATCTATGCCTCTGGAGATAGGTGTTTGTGTGTGTGGGAAGCAATGCACAGGGATGAGGTGAGGTCTGGCAGGCAGCACTACGGCCTTTTGAAACCTCAAACCACACTTCACGTACACAATTCAGTGCTCACTTCAGCCACAAACCCAAACTAGTGTCCATTCCATTTAGGTCCCCAAACTCTTGCTTGCCCGATTCACGTACTAAACCCAGGACTCCACTGATCAGGACAATGGTCCCACCTCCTCACCTGACCACATTGGGGTGCTCGAACGTCTCCAGGTGCCTCAAAACTGCCACCTCTCGGATGGTAGACAGTGGCATTCCCTCCTCACTGGTCTGCACCCGTACCCGCTTCAACGCAACAAAGCGACCTCCGTTCTTCAAGTCTCGGGCTTTGAACACCTTTCCGTAGGCCCCTTCCCCAATCTCGGCCACATATTCATACTGCTGGTCAGCCAGGTTTGTGCTGTCCTTATCCATGCTGGCACCACTCCTCTTCCCCTCGAGTTCCAAGTGCCTTGAGGTGGCTCTCAGTCTCGCTTACTTTCTGAAAACTAGTCCTTTGCTTGTGTTGCAGATAGGCCACGCACTTCGTACCTCTGCCAGAGGGGCAGTAGGAAGCTCTTGCCCTCCTGTTCTTGTTCCTTTTCTGTACAGGCTCCAATGTGCCTCCTCTTTCAGCCACCAGGAATTACCATACAGTCTTCAGGAGCATTGCCTGTGTAAAGCCAATTAGATCTAGAAGGACAAACCAAGCAAGAAAAGTGAGTTTAGTTTACTTCATTACTTTACATGCAAAGCAAAAACATGGCGGAAAGGAGGATGTGAGCCACGAGGGTGACATATGTATCAACGTCCCTACATGACTGATACAACAGTACAAAGTTATCACAGTCTGCGCAAAAGGCTACGCACACAGCTACAGAGCAGTGGTGTGCTGATGGGTTTTACAGAGCAATGGGCTAAATATGACGACCCTGTGAGACATAGGTGGTGGGGATGGCAGAGCTAACTATGCGTGGCTGAGAAGAAGTTATGCCAAAGAACTTTTCTTCATCGCACATGGTGGACTCTTGGAAAGATATGCCATTACTGTCACTTGCTTGCAAATAATAGCATTTAGAGGTTTGTGCCTTGGTCTGCTGTCTCCTGTGCTAAGCCCTTCATGAACACATCATGAACACACTGCAAGAAACAAGGTCCTGCCTCAAAGTGCCTGTGAGGAGGAGAAATACATACATGTTTAAATGACAATAATACGTTATGTATTGAGGTAAATTCAGGAATGTGCACTTTAGCCAACTTATCAACAAGCAAGGGTTTTGGCTGTGGATACTGCTACCATTGTATCACCGGCAGTTCCTTGCAAACCAGCATGATAAAAGATGCCCTCAGGAACCGCATGTTCTGCTGTGAGTGCATAAGGCTGGAGAGCAGAAGCAGTTCCTTCTGCATCCAGTTTCATCCACTTTCTGCAGGACTGGGCAAATCCTCTCCCTTCACAAAACTCCATATCAATTCTCTCCCTGCCCCTTTTTAATATAGCAATACTGTGACCACGACTGCAGCTCTCTCCCACACTGCATTTTTACCGTGCTAGTATTAAAGAGCTCCAGACAGCTCAGTCGGGGATCCCCTAAGTGGAATCCACGCACAAAGCCAGGGGTATTCCGCACACTTACGCTGATTTTACACCCTAGCTGCAGATGAAAAGAGCAGTCTCGAAGAAACCTGTGCCCGCTGCTCATCCCTTCTCCCTGGCTCCAGCCAGAGGCGGCTCCCTGCCTCCCCGGCGTCAGTTCCCACCACCACAGCTGCCACCGCACCGCCCCAGCCAGCGGACAGCCCCGCGCCACCCTCCTGCAGCATCACCAGCCGACACCGACCGCGGGGGGATCCCTGCCCGCCCCCGAGCCCCGGGGGTCCCCTGCCCTCCGCCGAGCCCCGCGGTGCTGGGGGATCCCCGCCCGCCCCGGTCCCCCCGCGCGGCCGCCCGCGCCCCCCCGGCCCGCGCCGCTCGCAGGGCGCCCCCCGGCGGCGGGC